CACACGAATTTGTAGTCATTTACCTGCAGACATGTAGATTTCAGAATTTGGGAGTATGTGTATGAGGGGAGTATTGCTACTTCAGGTCAATATATGGAAGGGAAATTATTTTCTTACAGAGAGGGAATGCTATTTTATAGTCTCTAATATGTGAGGCTCCACAACCTTTGGTCAATTTCTCCCCCATTTCTCTGTGTTAAAGATTGATCTGAGTTTATAGGCAACACTGAGAGAAAAATACAAGTCAGTTTAAAATCGCTATGTCCTCATGTGGTTCCCTTTGAGAACTGCAAATCAAAAACCTTTTTGGGGCAGCTAGTGCTGTTTCTCTTTCTCTCTCTCAAGTTGTCCAACAAGATGTCTTTATTTGGCTTTGAAATCAAATGTACCTGATTCAAGTTCTGAGGTATCTGAGCTACGGTAAATTGTTGATGACATTGGATTATCTTTACTGATAAGATACATTTGATAATTTTTTATTGTTAAAAAGCAACTGAAGAAAGTTGCAAAACTTTATGTGTAATATATAACCTTAATTATGCAAAAATAATCATATGCTTATATATTAGTGTGCATTAAAAAGTAACAAAGAGTTTGAATGTTAACATTGGCTATTTTCAGATCATAGGATTACAGGTAATTTTTACTTTCATATTTATACTTTTCCCAAATTATCTGTAAGCAGCATGGAATTATCTTTACAAATAGAATAAAAATTAATTGAAAAATTTTAAGTTATCCCTGCCAGTTCCAAAAACCAAACCTATTGCCATCAAATTGATTCCAACTCATAGTAACCCTATACAACAGAGTCTACTCCATAGTTTCCAAGGCTGTAAATCTTTACAGAAGCAGACTGCCTCATCTTTTCCTGTAGAGCAGCTGGTATGTTCGAACCATCAATTTTCTGGTTACAGCTGAATGCTTTAACCACTGAACCACTAGAGCTCCTTCCTCTGCCAGTAGACATTAAATATTGTAAATTCAAGCATTTAAGAAGAAATGCTAGACGTGAAAGATCAAAAAGATTTTAGATTTTGAATAGGAAGATTTTGAGGAGTACATGAAAACTGTAATTCTTTATTTTTATTGTTTTCTTAGTCAGATGTCCAGGAGTTACTTGCGTCTAACTTTTTTTTTTTTTCTTTTCTCATGAAGCTAGCTAGAGGAAATCATGTTTATAGAAAGAATGGTGACATAAATAAAGTCAGGGACACTTCTAAATGTGCCCAGTCTCTGAAATTGAAAGTATATTATGACCCAGACCTGCAGCATTGCTGGGAACATTGGTAAGGACACAGGACTAGGAATCAGAGGCCTGAGTTTTCTACTCATAGCTCTGCCACTAACCAGTAGCATGACACTGGCAATATACCTTACTTCTGTGGCCATCCCTACACTTGTTTGTAAAATGAGGTTTATGCCAGCACTATAATACTGTTCTCTCTGGCTGGATAAAATGGCATTACTGGATAAAGTCCAAGATTGGAGACCACTCCAGCTTCAAAGTCCAATCAGGCCACTCCTTCCTTGGAATAGCTACTTAACCTCCATGTACACATGGAGTTTCCCCATCCCTGGGTTTCAGGTGTACTCCCTCAGGAAGATGTTGCAAGGACTGACTAATGTACATTAGTGCCCCAATAACAATGATGCAAAGCATGCAGGTGTTGGGAGTTCCAAAGTGTCAATTCCAAATCCACAATAGGATTGAAAGAAGTGTGGTCATGCTGTGACCTTAAAACTACCTTTCTGTCCTGCATCTGAGGATTCTTATCCCAACACATAGGGTTATAAGTCTTGGATAATGTTGAGTTCTTTTTCCAAAGGCCTGAAAGTATTTACAAAAATAGCTTAACAGATAGTATAACTAGTTTTATATTGGAGGGGAAGCTCATTCTCAAGGAAGCAATAAATACCTTGACATTCCCCCTCCTTAAAGAACAATTCTGAGATTAAAAAAAAAAATTGTATTATTGTGATTTGGGTGAAAGTTTACAGAGCAAACTCATTTTCCACACAGCAGTTCATATACATCTTTTTTCATGACATTGACTGCAATTCCCTACACTGTAACAGCTGTCTTCCCACTTCCTCCCTGTAGTCACTTCTTTCCTGTGCCTATCTTTCCTATGCATTCCTGCCCCCTGAGCTATCTCTGAGATTTTTATCTTTCTCAGAAATGTGCGGACTAAAATGTGTGGGCAAAAGTATTGCCCACAGAGAAGGATGCACTAAAGTTTCCTCCTTTACTGCAAAGAAGATGAATTCTGGGATTTTATTTTATTTTTTTTAACATTCACTCCTTAATTTCCTGGGGCTTTACTTTTTACTTCAAACATCATCAAACATGAGCTCACATAATGTTGTTAGCACAATACACTTTATGTCTCTCTAGCGATTGAGATTTTCCAACCCGGATCAAAAAACGTCACTTATACACAAAGCAAAAAGGAGCTCTAATGGCACAGTGCCTAAGGCATATGACTGCTAACCAGAAGGTTGGTGGTTCAAACCCATCAGGCACTCTGCGGAAGGAGGACTGGGCAATGTATTTCTGTAAAGATTTACCACCTGGGAAACCTAATGGAGGTCGTTATGAGTCAGAATAGGAGCTGTGATAGCCTACTCCCTAAAGCATTTGGCTACTAACCAGAAAGCTGGAGGTTCAAACCCACCAGCCACTCCTCTTCCCAAGGAAGGTTGGGCAATCTACTTCCGTAGTGATACCTCATGGGAAACCCAAGGAAGGGTTGCTATGAGTCTGATCCAACTCGATGGCCGTGAGTTT